GGTGGGGTGGGGTGGGGTATATTATATTACATTACAGTTAAATATTTAATTTAATATAATAATTGTGAAATATAATTAATTAATTCAAGAAAAACTTGATTTTTACAATTTTAAATTTTGAGGCCTGATTTTTAATTTTGAAATAGATAATACCTGAGCTGTAAATTTTTCCCATTCTTTATTGAGGAAATTACAGCTACACAGGTTTTTAAAATGAACAATACTTTGTGTACAATCATTAGAAGATTGTAATTTTTACAATCCCCTAATAATTGTACAAATGGATTTTCCTTTTAAAATATCACTTTCACAAATTCAAAATCAACTTTAATAATACATAATTCAGGTTTTAATTAATGATTTTAAATTAATTTTTATTTAAATCAAATTTCAAACCCAAATTTTTCATTCACTCCCCTCTCTCTCTCTCTCTCAAAACTGACCTATTTTCTCTCCCCGATCTCTCTATCCTCGTCATCGCTCCCCCCCACCCCCACCCCTGGCGGCGGCACCACCACCATTCACACCACCACCGCCTCTATCTATTATCACATCTCACCCAACTTGCGTCGACGGAGACCTGTTATCTCCTTCGCCATTCCCCTCTCTTCCCCTTTCTATCGCGATCTGTTACTTCCTTCATCTTTTTTTAGAGTTTGATTTATCAGATGGGTGTGGTGGTTGTATGGCTAATGTTTGCTAATGGTTGATGTGGCTATGGTGGATGGGTGTATGGCTGATGTTTTGCTAATGGTTGTTGTGGTTGATTTATCGGATGGGTTGTAGGTTGATGTTTGCTAATGGTCGTTGTGGTTGATTTATCAGATGTGTGGTGATTTTTCGACTTTGATTTTTGTAGGTGGCTATGGCGGATCTGGCGGAGATTTTGGTGAGGTTGTGAGGATGGTGTATTGTTAGTGTTGGCGTTGGTATTGATTTTGTTGCTAAGAAGTGGTGATGATGATGGTGTTGGTGGGCGGTGGTACGTTTCTATGGTGTTGGTGTTGGCACGGTAGTGTGTTTTCTGTGGTGTTGGTGTTCTCGGCGAAGACAACGGTGGTGTTGGTGTTGACATCAGTGACGACGGTGTTGTGTTGGTGGTGATCACAAATGATTTGTTGATTGTAACCAATAAATTGGTTGGCGTGTGACCAATAAAGAATAAATTGTGATCAATAAATACTGTGTGATCTACAAATTTATTAATTTGTGATCTATAATTTGATGTTTTGTGACCATAAAATAAGTCGTGTGACTCATAAATTTCGTGATTTGTTATCGATGAACAAATTGTGACTTTTAAATTTTTAATTTGTAACCGATAAACTAACTGTGACCTATAAAATTTTTGAATTGTGACCTTAAAATTTTTGAATCGTGACCAAATTTCATATATCTGTGACCTTTATATATTTATGAATAAAATATATAATTAATTAATTAAATCATAAATAAATTTTAATGAAAGCCTGATTTTTGAAATTTAAAACATGTGTCCTTAATTTTGAAATAGTATTTACTAAAAACCTGATTTATGTATTATTCCCTTCTTTATTTTTCTTATTTTGCTAAATTCTTTCCTTATTAGTAAAGAAAAGGACTGATAGATGACAAGTAGATTAAACGAGAGTTCATTATTACTATGGATCATCACATTCCTATTATCTATTCTGTCAAATAGTAATTGACGAGAATACCTGAATTTACGACATCATGTATATTGTTCAATATTGCATACTAAATATATATGGTTCGAATAAGAATAAACCGCGTACAAGAAAATTTTGTTATAAACTGCTGAATGCAAGAAAAAACGACGAATTGATAAACTACAGATTACGAGAGAGAGAATTCAATACAAGAAATCGGTAAACTTTGACCAACATATAGAGGGTTTAAGTACAACATAAATATCAGATTTTTTTCTCTGGTGTCCACTTTCGATTCAGTGTGTAAATCTATGTTTTCTAAATCTCCAATACATCAGCTAAATCAAGAAATCACTGCTATAAACAAATGGCAATCAATTGAAAGGCTTGGCACAAGCATTTTGCAGCAAAACTGGTGGATACCCGTAGCTTAAGAAGCCATAGAGTTAGATTTTCCATGAAAAAGGTGATGCCAGAATATGGAGGAGATGCGGAAATGAATTCTGTAACTTGAACTAAGACCTTCCAGAAAAAGTTCCAATGGAGCATACAATTGTTTTCCGATCCCCGTGTTTCTCTACCATATTGCCACGTTCAAAGAATGTGTTATCATCATCTTAAACACGTATTCGCCGATTTTGAAGGGTTTCGATTGCCTTTTTCCACTGTGAGGCTCTTTGTTTTGAATCCTCGAACAACACGACTTTTTTTGGCTGCCAGCAAAGCATTCGCTTATAATCGAATATGAAAAAGAAATTTAAAAAAATCTAATTTCCAGATAAGTAAAGTATATGAGCAGAAGCGTGTTGACAAAATAACGATATGCATAAGTCCTGTGAGGTTTGGTTCAAGAATTGCCTCGTATATTTTCCTAAGATGTCTTCACTCAAAGTCAATCCGGTGTCACCATAATACAAACAGTTGTTTTTGACGGAGTCCATTCTGCTACGGTCAAAACCAGATAAACCTGCATGAAAACGGAGCAACGCCCAGTTCCCATACGTGAATACTTATGTCATTCCATTTCAATGATGCAAGAGAAGGCATATTCTGTCACTTAGAAATTCTAATTCTGGATTATTTTTCGGGACTTGCATAAATGTATAGAATTAGGCATGATTGTAAGATCAAGAGGTTCAAAATTTTGTACGCTCTTTGCTGGCTTCTTCGATAGGAGAGATCCATTTCATATAGCAACAGAAATTAACTTTCCCGAAGATCTATTTTTTATTTTCTTCTTCATTGGTTCAGAATTCGGACCTGACTTTATGGTGTGTAGAAACAAATTGAGATACAATGTGCTGCCCCCGATAATCTTGAAGATATGATACAAAGTTTTATTTACTTGTCAATCTTAGGATGAATTTAGAAGTATTGGAATGATAGCAGGAGATAATACATACAGATAAGAGGAAGCATAACTTACAGTGCAAATCTTGAAATGTGATGGGCTTGTGACTTGAATGCTCAATTCATTCGGATTGTCAGACCATAATATGTTCCCTTTAACCACCAGTTTTGCGGGGTCTAGGTAAATCAACTTCGGTTTATTGGTCAGGATAAGTTGTACTTTCTTGTTTGTTAGTTTCTCTAGTTTCTTGACCATGGAGATCATAAGGAGGGATTCACCGGGTTCCAGGAATTGTTGCCTGTTTATAGTTCAGAAGGAAAGTTAAAAATAAAGGAAATCATTTGACGCCTACGGAGACTCCATCTGAGATGTAGACAGCAACAGTTTCTTCTATTCTCCAATATGAAACACTAACGAAATGAAGTATGTATTGTAAGTTCTGGCAAAATGCAAATGCTAGAACAAGTCATGCATCAGATTCTTAACCAACTAAGCAATAATAAATCAAGATTCAGAATGAATTCTTCATACAAGTTATTTCATCAAGATTCTCTTACTGGTAAACTAGTAATTTATAAATATATAAAGAAATGTAAAAGTGGTGATTTTTTGGTTCTCGTCGTGCATAAATGTGTGGTCCAGAACACAGATCATTGGATTAAAGTTCATAGACATGAACATGGCCATAAACAGGTCAACACCATATGGCCCACAAACACGTTTCTCTTTATCTATTTTGTGTTGACATAAGCTATGTAACCTGTTAATTAGTAAATAAGTCAATTTTCAGGTTGACAATTCATATCATACCTATACTTTCATGAAATAACTTAAATATCCCCATTTAACGGATTAAAATAGGTCAGTTACTGGATCAACACGGCCCACTATTCGAAAGACAAATTAGTCCACGCCCAGTAAGCAACTTGTAACTCCACACAAGCATGACACCTCAAATCCATATAAATATCCCCTAGAAACTCCACTTTCATGTTAGTGTATTAATATATGATTTTATAGAGCGTACAGTTGTCATTAAAAGCAATGATAACACCAAAAAAATATATGTTTATATGTGAAATACCACTTTTACCAAGAAGAAAAATGATAGCATATGAAAGGATCATAACGAGGGTACCAAAATCCCAAGAACTAGGTCTTTTCTGAAAAGATAAGTACCGGTCCTTACCATTTCGAATCAAATGAATCAATTGAAGCAAGCCTAGTTATGCTAACAGTTTCGGAGGTTGATGTTGCGCCACCATTTCCATCGGTTGTTTTTGCTGAACCATCTCCAATATGTGCAGGATTCCACAATGAATCTTGGCCCTTACCCACATTAGACTGGGACTAAAAGAATCAAGACAATAATCAAATGTAGAGAACATATTACTTTTTTAAAATGAAAAATCGAATCACAAAACAAGAGAGAGAGAGAGATAATCCACTGGGGGCACAAAGGAGTTGCTACCCATTTTGGAAAATATTAACAGACTACCAGTCAATATAAAAAGTTTGGTTCTTATGTGTTCTCAGAGTATTTTAAACAATCAAAAGACCAAAAAAAAAAAATAATAAAAATGCACACTTTAGGCTCCATTGCAAGTTTTGGTGGGGGTTGCTCCCTCAAATTCTTCCAATTAATGCCCCTGAAGAAAGGGTGGTTTTTGAGTGAACCATCAGGTCCTGCACCTGGTCGCCTGCTGGGATCCATGTCCTACATCAACATTGCATAAGAGCCATAGTTAGATTAAAAGAATGAAAAACAGTTTCAGTGGTCAGTTATATGAAAAAAAATAATAAAAAATAAAAAAAATCATCTGACAGCACAGAATTTGAATGTTTTGGCAAACATATATTCCCATAGACATGCAAAGTCACAATATAAAATGCTGCATCTCTTCAAGGCACGTCCTTCATTTTCATGTAACTACTTCAAATAATCAGATCAGCAGAAAACACTAAAATCCTATACAGACAAGACACAATAACGTTGGGATCCTTGTCCTCCATTCTTCTCATGATTGTTTCCAAATTTTTTCTAGATTTTTCGATAAAATTAACATCAGAAATAATTAGTAAACCAAAATATATAAAAGTGACTAGAAAGAGTAATTTTTTGGCTTACCAATAAATGATCAATGAGATCTCGTGCTTCGGCTGAAAAGTAATTTGGAAATCTGATATCTCTAGCAATAATTCTTTGAAAAATAAGCCATTCGCTAGCATCTTTAAAGGGAGAAGTCCCCGAAAGCATTTGGTACAGTGTGCATCCTAGTGCCCAGAGGTCATTCCTGGGTGAACATATTTTAGGGGAGTAACTAAGTTGTCTTATTGGAACAACACATGATTATGATCGAAATCGAACCATTTCATTAGATATCAACTCTCTCTCAAGATCATTCAGAATATTTTTAGATATAATTGATTAAGTTGAACTAGGCTTCCACAATCTATAAATCAACAGACAACGAAGTACTAGTTAATTACCCGAAAGTAGCGGGAGAAGAATTTAATACTTCTGGAGGTACATAAGCGGCTGTCCCCACAAAGGTACATGCCTTATCATCTGAGGATAAATGATCACAATTATTCTTTATACTCAAGTTCATTGGATAATGACTTCAATTTCCTGGAAGAAACAATGCAGTAAGAAAAGACTCACCTGATGCTGCATTTGGAAGGACTGTTATCTGACTGTCTTGCATAGGCTTTACACTACCAAAGTCAGCAATTTTAATATGTCCATCTGTAGTAAGTAGCAGGTTCTCCGGCTGCCATTCAAGAAATTATTAGCATTTGTAAAATGGAAATAGAATTTTTTTTATGCAGCAACCTACCTTAATATCTCGATGTATCAATCCCATACTATGTATATATTCAAGAGCATCCACAACTTCAGCTGCATAAAAACGAGCCTCATCCTCAGACAAACGGCCTTTCTGCACCCACATAAATTAACAAGATCACATAGTACAAAGGTTTGGTCAAGAGTGATGCACATATTATCCTTTTTACGATAGATAACAAAAGTAATGACGGATTTAAAATCTGATTATACTTTTACAAGAAACGTGATTTGATTGGAACATAGAGCCTACTATGTGTTAAAGAAAGGCTACATTGCATGAAGAGACAGTGACTCGCTATCCAAGGAAATGATGCAGCTTTCACAAGAGTCTTACAATAAGTTTTGATTGGAATGAAGGAAAACAAAGGGTAATTAGATAACTTTTAGGGGAGGGAGGAGAGAATAGGGGATGTTTGGTACATTATGAAATGAAAGAGAGAATTCTTTTTCCTTTTGGGCCCACCTTATTCTGAGCTGAGTCGTATAAGAATACATGGAATTTTAATTTTTCACTCCTAGATTTCATCCTAATTGCTTCTCTCACCAAAAAAAAAAAAAAAATTGGAAATCCACTTTCAATTTTTCCACTTCGCTTCTCTCCCTAAATCTAACAACACTAACCAAATTGTCAAAAGTCAATTTTAGAACAACTTTTGATGCACTCATTTTATTAAAGTTTTCACATATTACCACCATAGAAATATACATGCTTTCACATTCTACTTACCCTCGTTATTTGATCAAAAAGTTCTCCGCCTTCACAAGATTCAAGCGCCATGTCTTCATAATACAATAAAAACATTGCGTCACATTTACATCCATAAAAATCACCCAACATAACAATAGAACGTCTATTAATGTGATGAGAACACTCACAGAGAGAGAAAGTATCTTGAAACGTAAAAAATAATCGCACTACACCAGGATGATCTAACTGGTCTAATACAATGCGCTCCAATTTCACATAAGCAGTTTTATTTTCCTTAGTGATGAACTTCTTATCCATAATCTTCATGGCATAGACAGTTCCTGTGTCTTTCTTCTTGGCTCTGACAACCTGGCAAAATCATAAGCAGATAATAGAGAGTTTTAACAAAAATGCAAAGTTGCAAGAAAACAATTATTGGGACCGTAAACATTTACAAGCAAACTATTGTCAACAATACCAAATAATGACCACCTGTCAAAATTTTAACATAATTCATGGAGTTATGTGCTCAACAATCAACAAAGAAGCCAAAAGGGTCGGGCAAAGTAAATGAAAGAGGAATAATAAAGGAACTTTTCGTAAGGGTCTAAGCTACAAAGCGTAAGCAAATAATATTTGCATCCGGAAAGAAATTATGCATAACTTGATCTTTTAGGTGCAATACTGCATCCGTGAAGTTGACCTATTGAGCGCACAATTACTTCAATTTTGAGAACCATCTTACCCAAAAATATAAAATTAAGAATCATTGTTCACATAACATTATTTGCCACCCATTTCTTACAAAAATCATCAAAAAGCATTGCCTAAGTTCTATCCTGATGCTCATTGTATGAAAAAGAAGTTCAACATCATGCTTTTGTATGAAGAATAGCTACACATACAAACAGTATTTTTGCACAACAAAATATTTATTTTTTTCCTTCATAATACACGAGATACAAAATTTTAGGAGATAATGACAGAAGAGGATCTGTCAAGAGAATTCACCACTGATTCTCGTACATTGCACTGCTGTTGTTATTCTAGTCCGCTATTTTGCCTCCAAACGACCAATTCCCACATTAGACTGTTTCTGTAAATTTACACACTGCACCGTTGAAAATGAAACTCATACTTTAGAATCTTTTCCTCGGGACTCTGCGTTTATGGAACTACATTTTCTTTCACTAGCTCTTCTTACTTTAGATAATAATGAAAATATTGCAATGATATAACCTTCAAAAAAGGATTTTCCCTTTGGTTTAGCTACCGTTGAGTCAAAAGTGCTTTGCAAGATGACATTCCCAACCATCCAAAACAGGATTTAGCAAAATAATTCAGCAGTTATGGTTACAGGTCAGATTTGTGAGAAGGTGAAGAAATTTGTAGAATTGAAAAACACAAAATCTTCAAATTCAGTTGAACACCACAAATCTATGCTGCTTTCATTTTTATATCTCGTCCAAGTTTAAGGAAAAAAGAAATTTACAACCAGCAGATCCCATGCAACCAATACAAAGTTTAAAAATAGAAGGAAAAAGGGCGGGGGGGTTATAATAGTGAATATAGATATTCAATTTTGGGATATATCGATCCACCTAACCAATCTACTATGAAGAAAAATCAAGAAAAGAAACAGGAATCCATGATAGAAATCATTATAAACGAATATATAGAGGATACAAGATATACAAAGAAAAAGATTGAACCTAGGAATAAGAACCACCAACATAAATCTTGCCTAAATCAAAATCTTCTATGCTGAAAATCTCCTGAGGTGCTCTAAATNTTCTCCTGTGGTGCTCTAAATGCAAAGCTCTTAGACCTTTGAGGGTTATTGCTATTGTCTGAAGATGGACCATTATTCTGAATACTCAGCTTTGAATCAAATTCGTTCTCCATTTTATTAACAACCCCTCCTCCTTCTCCCCCCACCAATGCCAACATTCTTTACCCCAAAATTCTCTATATCCCACCACCTCAACATGAATAAAACATATATTTCAATCTATATATCTGTATCCATAAACACAGTCTTATTTCCTGTTTACAGACGAGGGATTTCAGCTTTTTCTCACCGGAAAAAGAAAATCTTGGAATAAGGGGTTTTTATCACAGCCTTCAATGAAAGGGAAAGTGAATACCTTTGAATAGCAGAACCAATTTCAGAAATCTAAGAGAAGAGAACCCAAAACACATCTAATCAGATTTTCTTTACATATTCTCTCTCTCTTTAAGACAGCCATCTGATAAAGCTACCACCATATTCAAAGAAACCCCGAAAAAGTGAATGATTCCTTACCCATGTTTATATATGAATGTGTACGTGTATGCATATGTATATGTCTGTATATACCTTTTCTATTTTCTTTGTTATGTGTGTATATCTGAAAAAGGTTTGAGTTTTATGCTTTCTCAAGGGCCCTAAAAAAGAAAAGTTGTGCGAGGGAGATGAACGGAAGGGAAGGAGATGTCATGTGTAAATAGGGATCGAAGAGCACATGGCAATGAAAGATGGGTATAATGCCATTTGTGGGTATTCGTATTTTTCATTCAATTCATCACTGCTTGCTGAATAATTAAATTATTTATTGTTGTTGTTGTTTTGTTTTTTCTTTGAATTTTGGATCCATTTATATGGGATTATGCTCAAGTACGAAAGGGCCTATAGATTAGAGGAGGAGGAGACCGGGTGACGCTACCTAGGATTAGGTGGGTGAGGGGTCTGCTATGTGTACAGAAAATTTGCACAGATTATGTTATTGTATCCATGACAATTTTTCATTAGGTGCTTAACAGAAAGAAAAAAAAAAAAGGCCATACAAATGCTGCTAATACCTGTAAAACTGTTTGCACACTTTCTCCGTACAAACAGCTTATTCCCTTTAAGGCTTTAACAATGGCCTCCCTACCTTATACGTTGTCATTTGACGAAGTTTATATTTTATTTAAAGGGGAAGTTGGGGTATTCATTATGATAACAAGTTGGTCCTTTAACCAGAAACTAGTGACACGATGAGTCGACGATTGGCATTCATGAGTCGACGATTGGCATTGTTAAAATCATCGTGTTATCCTTGCACGTGAAACCTTTTTTAACTAAATTTTCTTTTAAATTTGAGTTTTTCAAAAATTTGAAGTGAGCCATGTTTTTATTATGGCTAAGTGACATGTACACAAAGATTAGACAATGTGTTATTTTGATATTGATTGTGCAATGTTAATAAAGGTTGAAGACCAATTTGGAGTTGAAGGATGAATTTGTACTACGATGACAGTTTAAGACTATTGTACAAGTTTTCTTTTTGAATTTCCGAATCTCTATTAAATTGTCATGTGATTCTCGCATGTACAATTTTATAAAGTCAATGCTTTTCAACTTAGGTTGTGTCTAGAAAAGTGAATTGTATTTTTTTGCATGTTTGCAACAATAAGTTACTGTTTAGGAATGAACTTGCAAACTTGTTATTGAGATAATAGGTTGGGAGAATGGTGCATTTTCTTTTTGGGGAAGTGGATGGTATAATTTACATCTTGCATCATCATTTTTATTCCGTCCCTTAATTGTCATTCCTTTGCAGTTAAGCCCTCAAACTATAAAAATGAGTTCAGTGTCTCTAGGAAAATATCTGATGTCATAAAATGCTATAAATAGTAAATAGTCAGCTTGTCCAATTGTGGATTTGACTTCAATTATTCGTTAACCTTATCCAGTATCCATGAAGATGAAAGGGGGACCAAGCTGTCAAGAAATGGTACAGTGCCAAGTTCATGTATATCACAAACTGAACAAATAACAATTTATCATGGACAAAGAAAGCATGATTGTTAGCTAAACATAAAAAGTAACTTAAATTTACTTTCAAGCAACTTTTATTTCGAGATCCTTTTAAATTAAGTCCCACGCACCTGTCCAAGTCTACTTGTTTTTCATTACAAAAACATATCATGTGGGACTATAGATTCCCATAATTCCACCTCAACTGCCACGACAATAAGAGTCTACGTTGGAAGTGAAATAAGTATATTGAATAAGTCTTAATGTAGACTCTTGTGTACATTAAGACTTACACTCCTCTCACAATGGAGTGTGCGGACCCCCACCATTGTGAGGGGAGTGTAATGCATTGATGTACAGTCAAGAGTGTACATCAAGCATCTCTCAAGTATATTACCATTCTATGTAAGAGCACCCTGTACAGTATCGAACAGCATTAAAATGAAAAAGAAGCTAAAATCGCATGCTGGATTCAGTCTTTTACTGATACCCAGCATCCCGTCCAGTGTTCAAGGTAACATATAAATCAGAAGAGACCATGGATATACGAAGTTTTTTCCAGGGAAAAAAAAAGGAAAAAAAGGAAGAAACATAATTTTCATTCAAACCAATGTACATCTCACTTACACAAACTACTGATCAACAGAAGTCCCTCCAAAGAAAAATTCACAGTTATGGAGTATAAACAAAACTCACACTAAGAAAAAGGGAAGATGAAGGGAAAAATACATTTTACCTGATGCTAGAATTCTTTCTTCACTATACATCCCAACCATCCTTTCGCCTACTAAAGTAAGACTTTCGATGCGTTAAACTCCCATACATATCTGAAAACTTTGTTAGGCAATTGCTTCTGACCCCGTAATGAGCCTGTGTGTTCCGGCTAATTGCAACACCAGAAATTTTCGACGTATCAATAGCCCATGTGGGTTTCACATACTCGACAACCTTAGAGAAGCTTGTGTTTGCATACAAGTAGTTCATAAGTACATCCTCACAATTAAAATACTTATCCACCAAAGCCCTGCCAGCCGCAGCTTTCTCGCTCCAGTATCTTCCAAAAGCCATAGGACCGTCGATGAAAGCTGCCCCCGTTAAGATAATGTTATATCCATTGTGGTTTCGAGCATGTTTTTCACCTCGATACTTCAAATAGTTCCCGTTGACGAGTCGAGGATAAAATCCAACAATCCGATCAGGATGTTCACGCCACACCCTGAAACCTCGTTCAACGTCATCACAGGTCATCATAATATCATCATCAAGCTCAAGAACAGCACGGGTTTTTATTGATGGATCCATCTTGAATCGATTGTTCAGTGAGTTCTGTTTCTCTACTCTTATCCTCACGGGCACCGCTGAATCGAAATCACTTGATTGTGGAGGTAGGCCTTTGTTCCATACCACTACAATCTCACGCACGGAAGAACATCTCGAATAATGCTTTACGTATATTTTCAAATTCCAAAGCCGGGCATCATAGGTCATTGTTAATAAAGTGAACTGAGAGTAATGACCGTTCAATGGGTAAGGTTCATGAGCACCACTGCCACCGTATATATTTTTAACTCCGCTGCACATTAGGAAAATGGCCACCACAATTGTTAAGACAAGAATGAGGGTCCCCATGCAAGTGTTTGGTCGAATTCTAGCACGAAGTGTTGAGCTTGCTCTGTTCAGTCGACTGCAAAAAAGACGCAGGTTGGAAGATAATACATTTGACCTCTCCCAAGCCAAGAAAGAATCGCTTCTCTTTCCCATGTTGTGTGGGCACCAACTTAAGGGTACTATGCATTTCACGGCCCCGACTAGCATTCCCACAAGTATGACAAGTATGAAAACAGCTATAACTGCAGCTGAACCAAGAATAAAGCGACGATTTGCATCCCCAGAAGGTACTCGGTCTCCATCCAAAACCGCAATCCACTTACCAGAACTGAGCTGCTGTACATCGAGGTGATGGCTGCGGGCCCCATTCCAGGCATTCCGTCCCTTGCTCGACTCCTCGACACCCAGGGGAACTTCAACTTCTTTGAACTCATTAGTGGACAGAGCTTCAACTTTGAAGACACGTGTTCGTCGCCCGTATGTCTTGCCACAGTCTTGACCAACGCGATAAAGAATTCCATTATACACAAACGGCCTGCCTCCATTTCGAGCTCCCACGCTCTTGTCTGTGTTATATATCGGGTTATTTTTATGCGGTTTCCAAGGACCATGTGGAGAGCTACTATACCATATTTCCAGTTGTCCATTCTTTTCGGTGCCAATACCGCTGTGATCTGAACCAAAAAGCCAGAACTTCCCCTCACGAGGAATAATAAAAGAATCAACCATGGGTTTTTTCATAATTATCTTATCGAGTGTCCATTGCATAGGAAAATTAACTGCTCGATACAGACGAAGTTCCCCTTTCTGACTGCCTTCGGGCATCATATATATCTGTTGGAACCAAAAAATAAAGTGGAAACTATAAAGGCAATTCCCTAGGTCTAAATGTTTCTCGAACAAGTAAAAAATCTCACAAAGTGCACAACATATCCCTTGTTCTAAATTCATGTTTTACAAGAAAAAATCTTAGATGAAACCTTAATGAATTGAGATCTTTACATTGCCATTGTAGTCAAAGATGTACGGGTAAGAGAGGTGCCAGTCTTCATCCAGAGCAATCCCCAAGTGCTGCCATGTTGCTCCCTTATCAATACTATGGGAAACTCCAATATCTCCTTGCTTGGTAATTGAATTTTTTGTTTCATAGAACATGTAAATGGTATCTCCCTGAATCATGTGGTCAAACATCGTTAAGCTATGAGCCAAGTCATTGGGAATATTCAATAAAAAAAATGCAACCATTCCACTTGACATGAAACCATTAATATGTAAACAGAAAGAGAAGGTAGGCCTCCTATATTAGAAGCAAACAGACTGAGAAATTATAGACAAAAGATTCATAAAGGCCATACACAAATGTTCCCCGGTTCTCTACTGAAATATAAGTAGGTACTGCTCAAGTCCAACTCAATGCTACACAAGGTTGAAAATCATACTCACACAGATATGCAAACACATCCCAAGAGAATGCATCTTTGTAAACCGGGCAGCTTAAATGAGAAACCTGAACATTGAGAGAGGTGACTTTCAATATTTGCAGCCACATGCATCTCTTTAGGGAAAGACAAAACTACTCTTAGAACTCAAGGTTATTGCATAACTATTCTGACAGAATATAAAGACCTTATCAATATGTTGAACGGAATATATCCAAGTCAAATATCAGTTCCTGGATTTGTTTAAGCTACAAATCAAACAATCAGCACATAGCATTACACGCCTTTAATCCTCTCACCCTCCCATCCCAATGATGGATCAAGTGCCTTGAATTATACCATTAACAAGAGGAAAACATCATAGTTATCGACAATGGCAACTAAAGACAAAAAATATCCGATAAAAACTCCAGTTAAACTTCTTCACAGAAAGCACGTAAAAAGAATAAAACAATGAATAAGAATAGGAAGGTTGGAAAATGATGTCGGGCAAAAATGGCACTCCAAAGATTTATTAGAAACAAGTAAAGCATTACAATCAATTGATCATGATTAGCGTAGGTCCAGGCGGGGAAGGCTGACACTTTCCATTGGAAAACACATGAGATCCTGCCAATTGAAGAGATCATACTATCCCCCACGGCATGGAGAACTGAAATCTCAATTTGAAGTGTAGTTAGTCATAATTGACGCTCTTCTAATAATTGTACATGGTTTTGAATGCCAAAAACATGCATAATGAACTGGATAAAGTAGAATGGCCTTAATTTGCCCATAATCAAGAGACCGCAAAGTTCTCCTACATTTTCCAATTTGTAACTGGCTATTTTTTTAAGAATTTTCCCTGATTTCAATTATGAGCAGAACATGAACTATGATTTATCTGTAATTTTAACCAACTCAAGTGTAAGATGGACATAATCGTTTTTCATATTTTTTGGATCAAGAGGTTTCATCCTGCTCCTATTATGTCTTTTGCTGATTTTCAAATGATGTTAGCTTCAGCTAGTAGCTCTCATTCGTTGGTTTTACACCGGTTTTACTCTCCTTATTAGGCAAAAGAAAGCAAGTATGCACATTAAACAAAAGAAAGCAAGTGTGCACATTAAACAGCTCTATTCTCCATTGAGGATGCTAATCATTCAGAACTTCAACTGTATAGGAAAACACATGAATCTGAACCACGTCTATATATACAGGCATGTATTTTTGTTAATATGGTGATAGATATATAAGTACTTATTTACTTGCACAAGTTCTCATTCAAAGAACTGGAGATCACAGAAAGTGCAAAACACAAATATTTACTCAACTATATGACTATCTGTAAGTAGGAAGTGACAATCCACTTTAATCACAACCTTTGATGCAAAATATAAAGAAATATAATATGCACACCTCTCCCAAGGAATCTTATGACTTGACTAAGCAAAACGTTCTCTTCCAACCCCCCATTGATGCGTGTATGAGCCCATGAGCCATGGGCCCATGGCCATATTGTTCCATGGATAAAGCCCTGAGTACAGGGCTTCTCCTGTCCGAGGCCTTACAGGCCTCTCAGCAGAGCCGGGGCCCACGCCTGCAATAAAAAAAAAATGTGGCCCCACCCCCCCCAAATGTGTCTCACCTGGCACGGGCCTGTAAGTCAGGCCCCTGTACTTGTAGCATCACCCTTGTTCCATTTCTAAAACCCCACCAATAAATTAAGCATGACCCTAAAATTGGCTTAACTTAGCCTTCCGGGCAGTCTTCTTCCTTGAGGTAATCTACCCAAAATCCCTCATAATAATATAGTTACATTTCTAAACCCCGCCAATCAATTAAGCATTACCATATAATTGGCTTAACCTGGCCTTCTTGTCCTTGAGGTGGTCTACTCAAAATCCCTCATCATGCAAATTCATTCCAAGCAAGTTTTTGATCAAAAATTCTTGACAACATGCTTTTTTCTCTATTTTGAAAGAACAATTGTCAAATTCAAGAATCCGATTCAAAGAGAAATGAAATAAGAGAGAGAGAGAGAGAGAGGAACTTTATCTCCATAGTGTCTACTGGACCATCAAATTATATTGATTTCTTATTTCTCCTCCAAAGCTAGCCAATCAGAGTCCGTATCTTTTTTTAAGCACCGCTTAATATGCTCTTAACGAGAATTTTCATCTATAAAGTATATTCCAAACCTAAAGCAACAAAAGAATAAAGAACCGAAGGTCCTACATTGAGAAATTGAACTCTTCACATTCTTCCCTCCAAAGCAAAATTACACCCCAACCCACTTGCCCTAAGGCCCCTAACCAGGAAAAGTTCCCAAAGCTTTATCTGTGTGGGCTTTCCTCACCATTATATTATTCCCTTGACCTCATCTGCCAATTAAATAAGATAACAACAAAGAAAAGCAATATATGATTGAATCGATAACCACTAGTTGACTATCTCCATTAATGGTGACCAATCCATTTAAGTCACATCAAGATTTAAACAATGGAAACATGGGAATAGTTTCATCACTCACATGCCTAAGCGGATAGCAAATATGCACACAAATGTTGGTCCATATTTGCAAGTAAGAGATCCCAAAACCAATTTCTTAAGGTACACATCAAATCAGTGTAAGGTCAGTTTCAGAGAGCACCAAATAAACCAGGGATAGAATTTAGAGTGTGTTTGGTAGGGATTTTTGTGGGAATAATTGATTTTTGAATAGTGATATGATGGGAAATGTGTGGTTGAAAAAGAAGAAAAAAGTATTGATGTGATGGAAAATATTATTTTATTGAAAAATGTGTGGTTGAAAATAAGAATTGATTTACTGTAGAAAATGAAAATCTGTACCAAACAGGCCCTTAGAAATGCAGTCACATTGCAGCTTCTAGAATAGTCATTGAATGGTATGAACTCAGAAACCGAAAGCTACAAAAATTGCAATTCCAGCAATGGAATAAGCAATTAAATTACTGACCACCTCTACATAACTGGACAGACAAACAAGAAATGAAAGGAAACAATATATAGTAAAGAAAAAAGACATTACCTGTACATAAAGGAAAGGGTCAGCTACAAAATTGCTGGGGAACCCTATGCTGGAAGGTGAAGCACATGTGACAACTGGATTAGCTACAGGCCATGCTGCACCCCCATCCTTCCATATATTCATCTGGCCACCAATTTTCAGAGGAAAAAAACTGATGACTTTTTTTTTATCATAAGCCCAGTAGCTATAATCCCTAAACACATCAGAATTTAAGCAAGACAACCTAAAATGTATTTATATGTGGGGTATTTGTCAAATCCTCTGCTAATAACCATTTCAACATAAAACCCAGAACCTGAAGAAAGTGGAAAACTCAAACTCAGCTAAAAATGTGTAGAGCTTACGAAATAACAAACCCCACCCACTCAGCATCTAAAATATAAAAAAAAATAGAACTTAAATTTCTTCTCGACCCTTTATAACAACGAAAAAGCAAAGAGCAATCACTTTTTAAGATATAACAAGACTCCCAAAACCTAGAGTCTAAAACCAGTAAAATAAATAAATTAAATTTCAGCCCAAAAAATTATAGAATCTCCAATATTCAGAAAATAAAAATATTAAAGTAAGAACCATTGAAAATTCATGAACAGTTATTAATTCCGTGTAATTACTAGGAAAAAAATAAAGAATGCTTAGCAAAAACCCAGAGCCCAAAAAACCTCAAAAAAAAAAATAATAATAATAATAATAAAATTGAAGAAGATATAAAGATCTATTTTTTCTTCAAAAATAATGTACAAACACGGGCATATAAATGAAAAATCAAAAAACTTACATCTTCAATGGGTTTGAGAGTAAAGGGAGAGTCCCCGTAGAAAACGCCGATAGCCCATGAACCCTCATTGTCCGATAGGCAACCCATGGTCGTGATCCCCGTCAGCCAGTTAGCCGTGAGCATGAACTTCGCATACAGGCACCCAATAGACCCCAAAAACGCAAAAGCTAACAGAAAATACGCAAAAGTTGACGACAAAACACATGGCCCATTGTTATTATTTCCATTTTTCATGTTACTATTTTTAGTACCATTGTTGCTGTTAAGACACCGCCACCTGCACCACCCGCCACCGCCTCCGGATGTAACTGTTCCACCGGAACCCATTTTCAACTACAAAATTAAAGACGGGATTCCAGTGAAGGGCTATAGGTGGACTCTCCGATATGGATAAAAAAAAGGCTAGAAAGAAGAATCTCTCTATTTCAACAAACCAAAGCCGACGCCGGCGTGAAGATCTCACCGGACTGTCTAAGCGGCGGCTTTACAAAAAACGGCAAAGATAGAAACGGTGGCATTGATTCTATCTACATCTATATATTAATAAATACTATTTAAGAGATCTTTGGAGGATAAAGGTTTTAATTTTTGCTATTTGTTTGTTTAATATGACCCTTTTTGCTCTCTATAAAAAGTTAAAATTCGATTTCGAGAAGTTGAATGGTAATGAAGCAAGAAAACCGCGGACATGTTTTTGGGAGAGATGGTGGATAATGACGTCAGCAACTTCTTGAAAAATTCTTTTTTTTTTATTATTATTATTTCGTGCCTATCTGTAGATTCTGTACCATCAATTATGTGACGTATTTATACGAAATCTAAGTCATTATTTTAATAGAGAGTGAATATATGAAATTAATTTATTAAAATTGATTTGTCAAATCAATTAAACCACTTGTACAGAATTATTTCATCTGTAAAAATGTCGAAAAGTGGTACAAGTATATTAGGGGTGCCATATTGGTGTCCTGCCAACACACTCTCCAATGGTGAGGTGTCATGTGTCCATTATGGACACCATTATGACACTCCTAATGTACAAGAAGAATTATCCAAAAATGTCAGAATACTTACATAAGGTGGGCCCCATGTGAATAAAATATTATTGAGTAACGCTATTCATCCCCACTGGGGATGAAAATACAGTCTACGTGGCACTAATGTGGCATTAAATGATATGTGAAATTAAATGACTTATTTAATTTCACTTTTCATTTAACTTATCATTTAGCGTCACCTAGACTGTGTTTTCATCCCCACTGGAGATGAATAACATTACTCAATATTATTATAGAAAATGGGGTCCACCCCCATGTGTGTGTTCTATTATTTTTACAGAATTTTTTTTCGTAACAGTAGCATTGTTCTTGTCAAATAATAGATATCACTAAATAATAATAAAAAAATGAAAATTACTTAAAAAATAAATAAAAACCCATGTTGTAACTTGTACGCAAATATGAATTGTCAAAAAACGTGTCGCGGCTGTCTATACCAATTTCTTAATCACAATTAATGTTTAATGAATTTATCTAATCAACTACTGAATTTCTATACAAGTGCTATATTGGCCCACTTCATATCAAATCAATTAACACTAATCCATCATTAGTGCAAATTCTTGTGTGGTAATCGACTCGCCAAAATGAATTTGAATAAACTAATATATTCTTCAATACAAACGGATATATCAAGATTTACGTGGCACTCTAATATTTGTCAGTTTAAAACATAATCAACTTCTTCATTCAATATTTTTCCTCCATAACATTGTTGGTAATCGTTTATGTACATTTTTTAATGTACAATTAGAAAAATCATTTTTATTGTTGATGATTTTGGATTTATTCTTGCATGAAGATAAAAGACAAATAAAGAGATTTTATTTTTAAGATTTTTTATATATTTTTTGAATTTATTTTACAATTTTCCCATTTTTTTTTTATTATTTCTTGTCCCGATTATACTTGGCTTGTAGTTTTTAAAAAATAACAAAATTCTAAATTGAGCAGTCGGATTGAACAATATATATTTAAAACGCTCTATTTTTTCACGACATTTTCAAATCACATTTGAATATTCGAATAAATTATCCTTTTGACATTATTGCAGGGCCTTGGAGAAGTACATAGGAATTGTTAATAGATTATTTGTCATATCAATTTTGTGTTAATAATATAGTCGAGCGAAATTTTGGGGGGGTGATATAGAGAATACGGTTATAGAAGAAAATCATGTAATAAATTATATAAATTTAAGGAACCAAACGTGCAAGCTAAGCATTCCTCATTTTAACTTATCTAGCCTGTCTTCCTCCCCTTCGTTTTGGAATTTTCAATGTCCTTTTATAGCGATAGAGATAAGACAAGGTGGTGCATCATATAATTGTGGAAGGATTTTCTTAAAAGAAACTAATAATTCGAACAACTTTCCATAAAAGGTTGTTATTCCTTATTTTAGAATTTGGATGTGATCCGAATTCTTTATTAAATATAATTGAGAGTTCTAATCAAAATGCACATTAATTAGAATCATATTTTGGATGCAATTGTGAATTCCTATTAAAGTTTACTTAACGAATTCTAATTGGAAATTCATTGGGAGTATGAATTTGTGTTTGACTTGAAGAGGTTATCGAAATGATGAAAATCAAAATTTTTGAAGTAAATGACCCGAGAGTGGGCGCCGTGGTGCCATGCGGATTTTGGCCAAGCGCTGCACCGTCCCGCCCCATCTGTGTCATTTTCTGTTTTGAACTCCGTTTTTTACATTCTACTTCAACTACAACTCTACTATGAGAGTTTGGATGTCTCCTATTTGTTCTTTATAGTCGGCTCTCTTCATTGTGATTTAGATGAAGTTAGAGAAAGTTAGACAATCATAAACACGTAATATTTGTATTCTCTTTTCATATTATAAGAAAATCTCAATTCTCTACAAATTATTTTATTATTGTGTTCTTGTGATCAATTACTTCATATTGTGTTTTAATATCATATTTTCTCATAACAAACTGGTATTGGAGCATTCCAATTTTCATAATAATTGGTATCAGAGTGATTATATCCACAACAATTGGGTTAGTCCACACCACCTTAAAAATATAATTCCCATTATAAGAAATCTTGCACTTCCTTTAAACCAAAGAGCAACACCATGTGACTTGTTGTAATGGAAAGTTTCATCGGCGGTCAATCGACTTATAGGTTTCATGCTAGCTAGCCACCTAGCTTCAACTGTCGTGGTTTAACTATCAACTTATATTTTTGTTCCACATACCGTTCAATCTTCAAAAGTTATCAAAGTGATCGCAACTTGATCAAACAAATTCGTGACCCAATCAATAGAATTTGCGACCTTGCCAATTGTTCAACTTCTGCATTTTGTCCGTTTCGGTAACAAGTATATATAGAATGGTTAAATTGGAAAAAGAAAAATAATCAGCTGGTGACCTAATTAAAGCAAATTTAAGTTGCGAGGTCAAACATAAAACACACTTGTAAGTTGAGTGACTAGATTAAAAAATTTAACCTATTGACATTATCTTCTGCTTCGAGTACTTTAGTCAACAAAAACATCAAAGGATTGGAGAAAAATGAAAGGGAGACAATACTTTTTTAAAGTCATTTTCAGTATCAAAATGATGTAAATTCGGTATAGAGTCACTTGTTTAGTTGATAATAAAAATATTATCATGTAACTGGTCAGCCTTACGTATTTCTACTAATCTCATTCTTCTTCGAAATTGTCTATAGTGATGTCCCGAATTATCGTCTATCTCTTGATTTAATTTCAATTGGCGTCACCATTTTAATTTAAAAAGGAAAAATTGTAAAAAATCATCGATTGTCAGTGACGATCGCTCTTTATTTTTAGATCCGCGGAAAATTTCAAACCAGATTGGCACGAGAACCTTCTAGCTCTTGTCTATTTACCTTAATTGATTCGGATTCAAAGTGCACCTAAAAAGCTCAACCCCTCCTTGCATTGGACAGCATCGAATATTGGAGATGCTCTAACTACTTAAATTATTCATGTTTTATTGAATATTTTAGCTATTGAATTTAGAAATATATCAATTGAAAAATTAGGGAAAAGTAATAAATGAATGTCGAGGAAAGTTAAATAAAGAGTTTGTAAATGTATCAACGTATAAAAAAAAATTACTCCATAAATTAAAGGTATTTTCCATTATAATCAAGACGCTCTTTAAAAATAAAGAAGATCATGAAAATACTCTTAACGTGTTAAGAAATTAAGCCCTTGTTTGATTTTAATTTTTTTCTCAAAATCATTTCCTCTTAAACTCATTTTTAATTACGCATTTTTTCAATAAAATAATTTTATACGTAAATCCATAAACATACCATATTTAGCCCTTGTTTGAGTTCCATTAAAATCAAATTTTGCGGGAATATATATTTTGAAATAATGATTTTTTTTAAAAGAATGTGTTTTTAAAAAAGAATGAAATTTTTTAAATTTACGTGTAATATTATTTAATTAGAGAATGTGTGATTAAAAAAAATTCATTTTCATTTTAACAAAGCCCAAATATATGGTAAATTAATCATACTTTTTTTTCATCAAAAACATCATTTTAAAATTTAAAATTTTTTCATATTTTTAATCTTATAATCGTTATAAAATTACTATTCAAGCCGAATAAGAGTGGTAAAAAGGGCTCAAATTCGAAGGCAGACAATTGGATGTTGGTGTAATTATGTGCATCTTGCTTTGCAAGTAAAGAGGCACATTCTTCGACATGGATAAGAATTTCCAATGATCTTCTGGAAGATGGAGACTTCTTCGACTTGAATAAAGTCAACAATGGATAACAAAAGCAGCTTCAAAATGCCTCCTGAGTAGGAAAAAAAAACTCCATTCACTCGTATGAAAATGACTCTTCAATAGGGTAGCTTTTAACTAGTTGGAAAAAAGACGATGAAGGCTATCTATGTCTTTTCACTCGGTTAAAAGGGCTCCCATTCACGGTTCAGCAAACACTAATTCAATAATCTGATAAGAAAGAATAAGACTATTTGTACAAAAATGGTGTTCCAGAATTCCCCCAGACATCTCACATGGGAGGTGGGCTCCACGCGAATAAAATACTGACAAAAAAATTGAACCTCACCTGTGTGTATTCTATCCATTTTCTATGTGTACAGAACAAAAATCGAACCCCATCTATGTGTGTATTTTGTCAATTTTCTGTGTGTACAGTACTGACAAAAAAAAAATTCAACCCCACCTATGAGTGTATTCTATCCATTTTCTGTGTGTGCAGAACAAAAATTGAACCCCATCTATGTGTGTATTTTGTCAATTTTCTGTGTGTACAATGTTCTGTATACACATCAAATTTCGATAAGAAAAGAGAACATGATGTACTATAAATAAAAGTTACTTAAAAGTGATTTGTCAAACAAGCTATTCAAAACTCCTTTTTTTTTTCTTGAAAATCACTTTTGACCACACCTTCTTATAATAAAATATTTTGCACATAAATTTAAATTTTTTTCTCTTTTTAATTGCACATCCTCAGAAAATTCACTATTTCAAAACCCATTTTTCTATTTTAATGATAGACAGACACTATTTTTACCACTGCACTTTTCCTATACTAAGCCGCATAAGGTGGAATCCTTATGTTGGAAATTAAATAATTACCCATTATAAATCAATTACATCGAGTAGAATACAATAAATTCGCATGCTTTTAACTTTCTTTAGTTCAAAATTAATATTTTATTTTTCATTTAAAACGACTATTTTTACATAGAGAACGTTTTTTTTTTTACCATATGTTTCTTTCTATTGAAACCAATATTTAGCACGTATACTTTTGTGTCACTGTTAATTTTTATTGAAGAATAACATATTATAATGGAAACATTTGAAAATTTCACTTTTTACGACAATCAAACTTTGTATGGCTACCATATGTACTTGTTTTATTCTCACTTTTTATTTAATCAGCACCATTTGCAAAGCACCACAATCCACCACCAACCACCATCACTATCACTCTTGCACCACCTATCACCATCCTCACCATGAATCATGCGTAATACAATATCTAAAACAACTCTACCACCCCCCAAAACACAAAAGTAACACACGCTACTCGTCTTAAACACACGAGTAACCCATGTTACCACTTTAGACAATTGTTTGCCGCCACCAGACCACCACTAGAGTCCGGACCCACCATTATCATCTAAAAAATACGTAGGCTATATTACTTGGGCGTTCTTGCAGTCTTAAGTTGTCGTCTTTCTTCATAAGCTATTAATTGGTATCGTTGATGTAGAAGCTACATAATTGATTCTCATCCTTTGAAACTACGAGCGTAATAGGAGCGTCCATATTAATTCCAACGCATTGTCACTTCCGTCTACACCCCGAACTAGTAAAAAATGAATCATTTTTTTTCTTGTTAACGTTGTACCCTTGTTTGATTTAATACAATTGCAGAAAATTAAATAGACAAGACATAGAAAAATAAAGCAGAGAGAAAAAAAATTAGATTTATCCTGCCATCACCCCGTTGTGGCCCCAACAAAAGTATATGCCATGATCACAGCCACCATAATATGTATTCGCCACTGCTAGCACAAACTGATCAATACACATCAATCGTCCACGACACCCAATAACCTCGCTGGACCATCCTTCATCATTATCCAACACCCCCAATCTCATTCACACGAGAATTCATTTCAAACCCTAGCATTTCTAGATCAAATTAATCAAAAGAATTGGTGTAGGAAAAATTCATATAAACTTACAATAAAATACCATTTGCTAACATAAGTATCGGTCGAAAGGTGACATTACACGACAAAGATGGCAGCAAAATGGTTGGGCAAGTTTGCACCATATTAAGATCTAGATTGTTGAGATTTACATTGAAATCTGGGTGTACAAGTAGTTATACACAGGTGTTGAGGTGCAATGTGATTTCAAGTCACCATCCCAAGATCGTTGTGATGGTGGTTGGCCATGACTCCGGTTCATGATGTTTGGGTTTGAAGTGTTAGAGAGTGAGATTTCATCCTCAATTTCTTATATTTTGTGTTTGAAATCTGGAATGATAAATTATTACGCAATATGAAAGAGGCATTTTTGTTTAAATGTTGTTTAGATCAGGGTAAAAGTTAAAAGAATTAAAAAAAACATGGTATGCTTTATTTTCAAAGAAAACGAGGTACATACAAAAGTGTAATTTTCACAATTGTTTATATAATAGCTCTTTGTAATAATAGAAACTAAGCATTGTTGATTCTTGGTATATTTGACCATTAATCATTAACCTCTCCACCCTACCAATGCTTCATAATGGGCTTGGGCCTTTTCTTGAATGGGTTAGGCTTTTGGGCTCTCCTGCCTGTCCGTATCTATCTACTTACCTTAAAAAAACAAACCGCCATCATCATCTCTCCACCAATCACATTAGAATATTCCATAAAGTCACTTGTCAATTCACTGTAGGGTTTTAGTCTAATCCAGAACCATTTTCTCTCACCACTCTCAGGTAATTTTAATTCTCTGCATTTTCCAGCTCCGGGTACCTTTTATTTGCACAATCTAAGAATGGATTCTAAGCATTTTTAACTTTCATTTTGAGTGTAAATTTAATGGGTCTTAGCTGAGAAACTGTTGAGAATTGCAAAAGGAAGAATAGTAAAATTGGAACTTACCTTAATCTTTGGGTTTGAAATTGTATATCTCTGCCCATGTGGGATTCTTAACATTCTATTTGTTCCTACTTGGGAGTTCAAGCCACTTCTTAGTTTTATTTCAATTTTTATTTACCCGGATTCTTGAATTTCTTCAGTTTCTGTATATTTTCTGTGCGCTGTGGAAATGTTTTCTTAATGGGTTGCGCCAATTCAATTTTTTTTCTAGAAGTACAGTAGAAAAAATGAACTTACTGTATGAAAATTTCCCCCTTTTAAGCAACTAACCAAGCAGGCTCATGTAGCAGCTGTATTCACAGAGGTTGTTACTCTCATTGTTGCCCGAAAAGTTAACAAGGTTGATTAGCTTAGTTTTTTAGTTTTCACAGTTACTGAAAAATTCTGGATTGTTGTTATAATACCGTAGTTTGTATATGATGTGAAGTGATTTTTATGGGAAGTAATCCACATGCTATGAGATTTCTGTTTGTTGGTGGGTTGTTAAGTGGTTGCATTGCTATAATACCATCTATGGATGTGTTGTCTTCAAGATTTGTATTGTACCCATGACACTATCAGGTTGAATTTTTATGCATTATACTGATTCATTAGGAGTGGCGGTTCTGCAACGAGAGAATCTGAATTTATTTATTGTCACTCACATGTTTATACTAGTGTAGCTGTCTACTGTCTGTAGATGAGTTAGCTGTCACGACTTGTACGCTAGACATAATCAAGTGAATTTTTCTGCTTGATGTCGATTCATTTGTTAAAATGGTTTATCTAAAACAAAATAATCTGAATATGTTTAGCTTCACTCACATGTTTATACACTTCCAAATGTACACGTGTGTGCATTGATACACTGGTGTCCACAAATACAGCTTTGTTAAATTGTCTCACCTTTTCATCTCTTAACTGTAGGTTTGCACCATTGGCATTGCTGAGCATAGACTATATAATGCATACCATTAAAGGAGGCTGGGTTGGACAAACATTTGCCCTTGCCACGTCCAATGACTCTGGAGGCAAGAAGTCAAGGATTAGGCGTTCAAAAGAAGAGAGGAAGACAATGGTTGAATCTTTCATAAAGAAGTAATCTTGCTATTCTTTCTTGTACTTTTATTGCTTTGAAGCTCGTTTCCACATAGTAAGCACAAGACCTAGGGCACCGTTAACTGTCGTACATACATTAAGATATGAGTTCGCTGTCTGTTCAAGTTGCGACAACATGACTTTAGACTACTGCACAGAGCTTGACACAACGTGATTGTAACAAATGCAATTACTCTGCCGAATTCTTAGTGTTGAGACTCAAGTTCTGATAATGTGTATATGGTTGCTGTATGTCTTAGATTTTAACATTCCACGTCACATGAAAGTACATTTTCTTGAATGCTAATCATGTGCAATTATCGCAACCATGGCTGCGAGACTTGATCTTGGGTGGTCACTTCTGCTTCTGCTTCTGAGGGGGTGGGTACAGATGTTGGGATCCTCTTCTCATTGCTACATTGACACTTATTCTGCAACTATTTGTTTGATCATTTTATTCCCTCCATTTTCTATTGAACTCCTATGTTTCTTACGTTGACACTTATTCTGCAATTATTTGTTTGATCATTTTATTCCCTTCCTTTTCTATTGAATTCCTATGTTTCCGATTCTAGTGTGCAACTTCGTATTTAATTTGGCATCGTATTACTTTCAGGTATCAGAAATCAAATAATGGGAATTTTCCATCTCTTAATCTTACACACAAAGAAGTTGGTGGCTCTTTCTACACTGTGCGCGAAATTGTTCGAGAGATTATTCAAGAAAATAGATTGTTGGGTCCAGCAAAATTGTTTTCAGAAGAGGATAACTCTGGGTTTCCGGATCAACACCCAGTAGGATCTATTTCTTTTGATCCTAAAAATGGTTTGCCATTATCAGATAAAACTCTTGTGAGACATACTGCATCCGATCAAGATCAAGTAACCAGTGGAGAGCCCATTTTCAATTTTAGCCCGCAGTTTCATGGACCTGAGCCAGTGGTATTGGATAATAAACGGATAGTTAATAAACTAAGTGATGCAGATGAAACAGATGGAGGATCTGAAGAACTCAGTATGTGGCATTTCGCATCTTTTCATCATCAAGATAGCTGCATGGACAATCTATCGTATTTTACTGAGCATTTTCCTCAATCTATCAGTCAAAAGTGTGTGGATGACCAAATTGCTAGCGGCAGCGAGACGTTTGAAAAAGATCAAGAATGTGATAAATCAACCATAACAAATACTATGCCCATTCATCAAGACACCACCTGTGAAACTTCTGTCCTATCTAGTGGGATGTTTCCTCAACCAGAGAGTCAGGGGCTTAGTGACGAACAAATTTTCGATAAGAGCAGTCAGATAAATCAACAAACAAAAGTTGTGACATACACGGAGGCTGTAGCAAAGGAGATTCTGGATAGAGAGAAAGATATAGTGAAAGAACTAGAAACATCAGAAGCCGTAATAGCTCATAAGAAACCTGAGGTTTTGGTGGAGACATTTCCGCTAAGGGCCGTTTCTAAGAATATTCACGACATGGCCGGAGAAGATATCAAGTTAAGTGATGTAACTGGAACCTTGGAAGAGAAGGCAACTCATCATGAGGGAATAATGTTTACCAAGAGCTCATCTACTTTAACTAATGGGAAATTTGAGGAAAAACTTCCATCTCTGGAAAGTTTAGACATTTCTACAACCATCGAACCCACTACACTTGATGGTAGTATTGTCAAAGATGTCGAAGCAAAGGATTTGTTGCCTGATGGAACTAAGGTAAGGCTCTGTTCAGAAACAACTTGTAAAGTCTCTTGTCTGTTCTGATGGACTCAAATTTTCTCATCTAGTTTATTTGAAAAGAAAACTTGAACTCATTGAAAGAGAATCACTCGTGGTTAATTGGTCTAAAGAACTGGATTTGGGTTCATATTATTTTATTTTGGGCAAGTATATGAATAAATGGCAAATCATGATGAACTTATTCTCTGAATTAGTGTAGAAGTGTATCACTTGAAAGAAAGTCTTCCTTTTATTAGTTGAAAAGGGCCATAACCCTATGGGGGTGCGGAAATTGGTAAGCTATCGACCTATTCTTTATGCTGTTCCCTGCAGGCCTGTGATTCTCCCCAACAGTCGATTCTGAAGGAGCCCACTGCAGTTGGAAGAAAACCTTATGTTCAAGATAATGGCAGTTTTCAGAAAGAAAGCAATCCCATTCTGGACAGGATTAATCTGTAAGTCTTGATACTCCACATGAAATTTTAATAATTTGTACATTTTTTGACCTTGTTTGCACATTTGTTTTATCCTTAATGTTTAGCAAATCTCTAATAATATCCTGCCATGCATGCTTTTTTGACAGTGAAACGTGGGAAGGGACATCAAAGAAATCACCAGACCCTAATCCACTTTTGACTTTACTCAAGGGATTTATATCTGCTTTTGTGAAGTTTTGGATTGAATAAGGTTTTCAGTTTTTCCTTCCTGCGTTTAGATTCTGATAGTTAGTTGTGTTATTTGCTTTATTGATCCCTTGTGAAGAAAAATTATTTGTCGATGTGAGGATTCAAAGGCTACATTTACTAGATGCAGAGTGCAACATATTTGTTGATTTTAGGGTGTTTACTGCTTTTTAATTGTCAAGTTTAGTGATTACATTGCAACAAATTCTTAGCCCCTGTTTGGTGAGATTAAAATCAGATTTTTAGTAGATTTTGATAGAAGTTGATGAAATGTATGAGTGAAAAATTGTGAGACCCATAAAATATGTGATTAACAAGAGCTTAATATTTGCATGACAACGGAGAACCTTTTAAGCTAATAAGATTACTAGATGAGATTGATGATTAAGTAGAGATACTATATGGGATTATACTAAATTTTAAATTATATTGACTGTTGCACGGGACAAGATTAGTATATTATCTTCCCTTCATAATCATATTGTAGTCTATTCTAGTGTGCTTGGAATCTCTATTTCTACTTATGCAAGTGTTTCTATTTACGGTTTTACCTAG